TTAAAGCTTTGTTCCAAGCTTTGTTCTTTCTCTTTATTCATCGCTCTTATTCCATAAATGATTATTTCGTCAGTTTTTGTGGATTGTGATTATGATATAAACATTATGTCGCTCGGCTCATCAGTTCAGTTTCGTGCAAAATTTTGATTTCAATTTGTTAAATAAAAAATAAAAGTTGCTCAAAACCGATATAATTATAAAAGTTGATAACTAAAATGGGTACGAACTATACTTTTTAATAGCCCCCTAATCTAAATTATCTTGAAAAATTAATTTAATATATCCAGGACTGCCGTCCAATGGCGTTGCACAAAACGGACAAACCGCTTGAAAACCCATCGTTCCATGTGGTATATCTACGTTTGCCCAATATCTGTTTCGAAAAAAGAACATAACTCATTTTATTATTATTAATGTTATTCATGGGATTTTTTGAGATGTAATGGTTGCATCACAAATGGTGTACATACTTGACTGTTTTTTCGGTAGCCATATGACCACAAGGATTGAAGGCATACGTTGGTGGACCAAAATCTACATAAAATGCTGGCTCACAACCCATGCACAATGTCACCACCGCACCTTGTTCCAAACACATTGGACATCTTCTTGTCGATTTTTCTTGACCTTGGATGTGACCCCAATCATGATTTCCTAAAAAAAAAGTTCAAACATATATTTAGCATAGATTTATAACATTGAGAATTGAATGGGTAAGAATAATCATGACCTCCAAACATTCTTTAAAAAAATACCAATTCAAGACGATGAATTAAAATAAATGAGATACTAACTCGCGTTTAAATAAATCTGATACTTGAAAGATATTGAAAATAAAAGTGGTATGTATCACATTTATTTTCAATTCGTTCAAGTATCAAATTTATTTTCAATTCTGACTAGTATCTCATTTATTTTAACTCATTTGTGCATTATACCGAGTCTCCGAGAGTTTCATATAAGCCTTCCCATGAAGATGGTAAAAAATCGTGAAAAATGAAAAAAATAATTAATTTTTTTTTCTTCGATTTACAAATACTATTCAATTTTCTGTACCATCTAGTGAAATCAGAATGAAAAAAATCGTATTCCTTATCACCCAAATCACGATTGGCACTCGGTCCCTATTCAATAGGTGTTACATAGGAAGTTTATATGAAATTCTCGGAGACTCGGTATAGAGCACTCCAAAAGTGAAAAAAATTCAGATCTTGATGAACATCATTACCTTGAACATGACCACAATTTAAATAAACGTAAGGCTGATTAATGTGGTCACTTAATGTGACTTTGCGTGGTATCACAAGCGTATTCAACCCAACTGGACATTGGGGTCGTCCCTCATTAATTTCATCTACAAGCTTCTCTAAATCACGTTTTCCCTGTACAACATTTTTTTTAAATTGAATTGAAATTAATTATATATAAAATTTATATTATAAATTTCAGATTCAATGTGCAAAGTATACCGGTGAATTCTTTAGTCCTTCAGCTGATCGCCATAAAAGCGTTGCACCGCATAAATCGATCAATGTACCGTCCTGTAAAATGTTTGTTTCGCCGTAAATCTATCGAAATAAATAAAAAATGCATGGTTGTGTTGATATTGCATTTGCACAAATGGGAAAATACAGAAGAACATGTTATTTATTAAATTGATTCGTACTGGTTCGCCTTTTTGTTGTGCCGATCTTGATTCTCGTAAGCCAAAAACGTCACCGCCAACCGAACACTCTCGCCATGGTGTTGTCCCTGGATTTTCTGTATTGCCACCAACAAACTGACCTTTTGGATGCATTATTAATATACCATTTGTTGTTAAACCATCTATTTCAACGTTGTCTTGCCACTTAGTTGCTTTTTCCTAGTCAAATAAATAAAAAAAAAATTATACAAAAAAAATCAATGAATTTTTAAATTGTGTTTTCTTTGCGTGAATTATTATTAATAACTCCAAATATTATGCAATTGAAATGAATTTCAATTCATTTCCCAATTTTGAATGTAAATGGTAATTGAAAATTCAATTCAATGAATTGAAAAAAATAAATTGAAAATTTCAATTTGCATTATTTAATGGTAATTATAATTGAATGAATTGGCATTGAAAAATTCGAAACACTGAATGGCGGAAGTAAACCTGTAGATATTTTTGGTATTTAAGCTCACCCCTAAAAATATATTTCTACTCGAATCGAATCCGGCTGCATAAATGCGTGCTTTTGATGGTTCACTGCGATCAACTAAAATACGGCATGCAAATCGGGATATTGTGCTCTGCATAACTCGCGTATCTTTCTTATCACCAGGCAATGTATCCATGACAACAAAATCAATCGGCGCTTCTGAAGACCGTCCAATCTAATGTGAAAAATAGAAAGGCGTTTTGAGTTTTGAAAGTAATTTCGTTTATTGTTTATTGAAATGTTGTTTTTCATGGTTGACATTGAGTGTGTTATATTTATATTTATGTATTTATGTGTAATATTTTTCAATCCCAAATGCAAATATAAATATGTTAATAATATAATTTAAACATAAGTATTTTATTGACCTCCCAAAAGAATTTAACATATCATAACCCTCGTACGGGAATTCGGTGGGAAATATATGGTTCATTCCATATTTTTATCAAATAATCAATAAATACTCGATAATACATCAAATTGCGGAAAACACAAGAGAAACTAACACAACTAATTGATACATTTCGGTTTTGTGACAACAGCAATGTGCCTCTCTGAGTTTAACTCTGATTTTCATGTATATCAGAGAGATGAGAATTATGTCTTGCCACCGTATCAGTTTGGATGTGATGTTTTGAATATTCAACAGGGGACAGCGTACACAGAAACAAGTATTCGAGTACGCTTACGTATATGAGTTACGCACTCTATTTTACTCTATTTTTGGTGTTAGTTTCATCGAAAGTATGTGACGATACACTTAGCAATCATATTCGTTAGCGTATACTCATATGCACGCAACGAAACATAACTCGTTGAACGCGTGCGGGAACGTACATATGAATGTTCGAGAATGAATGTGAGTCTTCTCCTGAGAGTTTATTGAAATGTAACATCGCCATACAAAAAGGATCGAGTACTATCTGTCAAAATATTTCCCCCTATGCCAAGCGAAATTAATTCGATATACGGCGCTGATGTAAATGTCACTCTGTCATTTCACAATAATACTTTTTTGGCTTGACAATATATAAGCTCTTCATTTAAAATGCATACACATTCATAATTATTGAATCGTTGAAAAAAAAACATGTCATAAAATATTTTTCTAACATTTTTCATTAAAAAATTTATTAAATTTTTTTTTTATAAAAAAATTAATTTGTTTATAAATTACAATAATTTCAACAAAAAATGTTTCATCGATTAAATAAGAATCCAATGTAAATAGTAATGACAATGCGACACCTACCGTAAAAATGCAAAAAGAAACTTAGTTGGTATCCATTGTAGCATTTTTGTCCACCATGACAGCATCTTCGTTTTACTTGACCAATCACAGAGAAGCAAAACGAAGATGCTGTTATGGCGGACCAAAATGTTACAATGCCAAATAAGTTTCCTTTTCTATTTTAACGGTAGGTGTCGCATTGGTATTACTTTTTACATTAGATTCTTGTTCAATCTATGAAAAAAAAAATTGAAATTATTGTTATTTTTAAACAAATAAATTTAAAATAAACGTAAGAAGAATATTTTATGATATGTTTCTTTTTTTTACTCGACCGTTCAAAAATTATGCATGTTGAATGAAGAGCTTATATATTGTCAAGTCAAAAAATGTATCATTGTGGAATGACATAGAGTGACATTTAAATCAGCGCCGCATATCGGATTTATTTCGCTTAGCAAAGGGGGAAACGTCGTACTCGCTCCTTTCTGACAGTCAGCATTTTTTGTATGGCGGTGTTACATTTCAATAAACTCTCAGGAGAAGACTCACATTCATTCTCGGACAATCATATGTACTACACATGTATCTCTTTTTTCACTGTGATGCGTTTACTTCGATGAAACTAACACCAAAAATAGAGTTAAATAGAGTGCGTAACTCATTTTGAGGGGTAAAGCCTCTACTAACACCGTAAGTGCGAGTAAGCGTACTCGAATACTTGTTTCTGTATATAAATGACTCAATATTTTTAATTTATGACCTCCTTTTGAGTGAAATAGTATCTAGTTCGCTTCGAAATAAAATTGTATAAGTAAAAAACACTTCTCTCGAAGTTCAGTGTGACGCAATACTATAAATCTGAAAATGTTCTGATATAAATTTTCAGTGACGCGTTCACTCAAATATGTACAAAATGTTATTATTGCGTCGCCTCTAAAATGCAAACACAAAATGATTTACATGTCTAAAAGTTATGTTTCACTTTGAACGAAAAATCTGCTGTTTTTTACTCTAAAGCAATTATTTTCAATTTTTTTTTTGTAATATATCCATAAAAATACTAAGCCGCTGCAAGTATATACAATTTTAATTAAATGGGAGAACGGTTTAGTTAGTTTTATAAAGAGTGTACGTTTCCATATTTTTTGCGGCGAAAGAGGCGACGTAATAATAACATTTTGTACATATTTGAGTGAACGCGTCACTGAAAATTTATATCAGAACATTTTCAGATTTATAGTATTGCGTCACAATGGGAACTTCGAAAGAAATGTTTTTTACTTATATCAATAGTTTTGATAGTATTTTGGTTACCGTTAATATGTTCAAAATGGCAAAAGATGAAGATTTTTGTATAGGAAATGTACCATAGAATTCGTTCTACTGCAAAATAAATGTCATATTCAAGCCGAAAGATCTAAAAAAATTAAACTAATTACTCAAAACGGTTACCATCATTGAATTCCTCGGGTCGGAATTATGTAAAATCAGTTGTCAAAGTGAACAAACAAAGTAAAAACCTAGTACATTGCAGTTGATTACTAAGATATTAAAATATAGGTGGCCGCCCAAGTTCACACTTTTATCAATTTTCACCAAATAAAAGAATGTTGTCGTTTCAAAATGTGCATATTGGCTCAAAATTGAGTGCGCTTTCGATCTATGAGGATTAACTTCGATTTTCATCGATTTTTCCCCATTTTTTGAGGTCTAGTCATTCTGATATAACCTTTTCCGCTGAATTTTTTTCAAACTTTTTTTATTGCTTCATCAAGATGACCTTAATGACTTTCCAATAAGCTAAGAATGACGTGATTCTGTTAAAAAATAACCCGTTACCTGTGATCAAAAATGTCCAAAAATTGAAAATTTGCCGAAAATTTTTTTTTCAAAAATTAAAATTTCTTTTTTCAGTACGTTTTTGGGGTTCTGTTCTGATGATTTAATTTTATACATAAGTAATATTGAGAATATAGTCAAGCTTTGTGTTCAAACACATTTTTTGAAATTTTTGGGCTGTGTGCGCGAATCCAGTTTTGATTTTTTCTTGCAAAATACACCTGGATGTGATTTCTGTGACCATTTGGCATAGGTTATGCTTAAGTGCAACGTTGATTTCGAAATATTTCACATTTTCGATACACTCTAATACTTAGTGCTACATACACCCGATACATTAGTCACTCTTGTACTATTTCAACATTAATTTCTTTCTTTAGTTGTAGAATAAAATTTAGTAGTAAGCTCATGTTAATTTGGATGTTCAGAGCGTGTCCATTTCAACTTCGAATGAAAATATGCTCCAGGGAAAATTAATCATCGGTGCGAATTATTTACCTGAAACATATCTGTGTCAGTATCTTCTTTGTATTCCACGATAACCGCTTGATTTCGTGACAATGTGTATGATATTGAATGTTGATTCGCATCCAAAATGGCCTTTGATGTTTGAGGTGATTGAACTATATAATGTCTAGATCTTCTAACACCATTCGCTTCGAGTCGTTTATACAATACAAATTTAGAACGTCGTCGGCCTTTATCCCCTTGTGGCAAAAATCCATTATATCTGCAATAATAAGAATAATAATATAATATTAGAATGACCAATTAAGTTACTTTTGCTGCGATGAATAAATCGGGAGATACGATGACGTTTAACTTTTAATTATTTGAAGAGGATTCTCCCACATGCATGTTTCAAGCATTAAAACTTGCTGCAGTTTCCTTGTTTAAAACTTGCTTTGGCTACATGATTTCAATGAAAGCACATGGCAGTTCATCACTTTCAGCTGCTAATTAAAACGTCAATATAAACATATTATGGTAGCTTATGAAATTAAGTCACGCAACATGAATATTTGATAGAAGAAGGAATCAGCTAACGATCCATACATATCATCATACTCAAATACACATCAAAGGAGAGAAAGAGAGCGCGAAAGTAATGTAAAGTCACTGTAAGTGCACACATTTTATTGTTCAACAGCCCGAGAATCTGATTGTATTTGCAGAAGCACATAGTGTGCGTCACTGGGACATTTTCTGAACACAAATAATGAAAAATAATAAATATGATTAGTTGCGAATCTTGGCATCGAATTTTTGACCGTGTGAATGCTGTTCAATGTTGTTGTTTTGTATTTTATATCTTCATTTTACTCTTTCCGCTAACATGCCTTACCTGGGTTGTACATGTGTGAGACGGAGATTTGGGGTTTCTTCTTGTTTCATATTTGCACAACATTCGCAAAGTATTTTTTATTTTTCACAATTAAAAACCCTTCTTTGTTTTACCTCGCACACTACTTGTACTCAACTTTTTTAAGGGTTAACATTTTCAGTAAAAGGGAAATGACTGGTTTTTTTTATTTTTAATTTAATCGTAAGGATACAATATGAAAAAAGAACGTAGCTACATACCCTAATATCACTAACTCTCCATATTTGACTTTTGGTTTGTCAGAACGTCCTTCAGCTTCTGGATCAGCCAAAATGGGCGACTCTGTGCCGTCCGTGCTGCAAATAAAAAGAAATCAAGCATTATTTGAAAGAAGGGGAGAATCAAAAAATGTTTGTCGTTTAAAAATGATATACTAACTAAATATTATTAATTATGAATGATATATTCTGCTTGAATATAATATGAACTGAACAGAAATCGACATGATGGTTCATTAGCTCCAGTTACGGTATAACTATTTTCTCCAATGACGTAAACGGCATTGTGTTTTAATTTTGAATAACCGATAATTTATCGGAGCATCAAGTTTCAATATCCGAAGCAATAATACCGTATATTAAGTATTGGTCATTTTGTATGTAAACTGCACAATGATATATGTTCTATTCAAACAATGTCCCAGGCATCAAATTTTCACATTACCCCTTTACATAACTCACGATTTTGGATAGAATTTTTCTCATTTTGCTAGGATTTTTTGAGGAAATTAACTCCGCGTATTTACCCCTGAAATTTTCAGTCTGCCCAGCTATGCTTGAAAATATCACCATATTTCATTCGATTTTGAGTTTCGTTTGCAATTCGAATATGATGGTTATCTAAATTGATTTTACTATCTTTTTCGTCCTCGTTTGAGAATCCTCTTTGTAATGAAATGAGAAATAAATATTACGATACAATAAACACGGAAAAAAGATTAAATTCTGAAAATTCAAATTAAAGGAGTTGGTGATTTTCCTTCATATGATGTGAGTCTACTGTCAAACGTCAATATATTATCGAACCCTTCTATGAAATGTACAGTGGCGCCACTTTTTGGTACTAAGTAATTCCATAGAAGGGTTCGATAAAATATTGACATTTGACAGCAGACTCACTTTTTCACGAACTTCTTTCAACGTTTTTTCTCTTGTTCAAAACAAACAAACTGTTTTATTTGTACTTTCATTTGATATGTTTGTATTTGCCCTTTTTATGCTCCGTTCATATTTTCAATGAAATTACGCAATTAGTCAGTTGGCGTTCATCAAAGAATAAAAATCAAAATACCAGAAAGAGAATCAACACATACATGTACAAGCACAAAAGCGACATAATTTGTTCACTATCAGCCATGTTTCGCCGACGACGATAGCAACGGCAGCATCAATGATGCTGCATCATAGACGATTTTTAGAAGCATAATTTTCTAAATTTTCATTCAGTTGATTTCATTTTGGCCTTGCAAAACATGCTCAATGTGGTACACATGTTTCGCATTCGTATTAAAGTATATGCAGCTATACCTCACATATGTGGAATACAGACATGGAATACCATGTTATTAATTCATCTTCATCGAATGGTATACTATCGAACACGATTAAATCAACTCTCTATAGCGCGCCACTTTATTCAATTCAAATCATATTTTCTCTATCTTTAATTGAGTAGTTTTTCATAAACATGGATGGAAGGATGGATATCAGTTTTTTTTTCCTTTTTTCCACATTATAACAAATGTGCTATGAGTGATTTGTATAATAATTAAGTTCTTACTATTGTAGCCTTCACAAAAGAACAGATACATTTTCGATTGTAATCAAGTAAGGCAAATAATTGTCCATTTTTGTCTAGGGGAGAGAAACCAATGCTAGTTTTTCTAGTTTATAGCTAATTTACTAGTTTATTGCTTGAATAATCTCATGGGGCGGAAATGAATGAGACGAAATTTTCTCTCTCATGGGCGCAGCCATATTGAAAATTTTGTATGCGCTTATATGTAAAATGTGTGGCGCCACTGGTATATTTGATGGAAAAAGAAGAACATGTTTGAGTCTCACTCGTTTATATGTAAATTACATAGGCATTTCCAGGCCATGAATAATCTAATAATGCTAATATTCCTTTATGAAATTGCTAGTTTTCTAGTTTTTTGTTCTGTCAAATGACAATCAAATGATTGTACTGACACAATGAAGTATTTTGACGTTTTGTTGTTCAGACATATTTTTATGTGTTTTGAATAATTATACACTTATAATAGTGAAAATTAGTTTAATTATTCTTTTTTAACACAAAATCGTGCATAAAGTACTTGTTTCTTTCAATAGACGACTTGTAAAATTGATTTAGTCAGCAAATCATGGCACAATATCAAAATGGCGGATCAAATAGTTTTTGTTAATTTTTCTAGTTTTTGCTAGTTTTTTTCTAATTTTCCTAGTTTTTACTTGAAATATAAAAAACTAGCTAATGGTTTCCGTCCCCTAGATTTTTGTTGTCCGAGTAATTACCATTTGGCCTTTAATTTAATTCAAAGTTAACCATTCGTTGGCCAACCAACTTTTGAATATGTAAGAATGTCAAAATTATATGTATTCTATGTATGATTGATTATGGAATTAGTTAAAATTGAACGATTAATAGATGAATAAAATTTGAGTTACATTACAATTCGACATTAATTCTTCGATTGGAATCCAAAACTTTATTATGCATGAGAATCCCTTTAGATTTCTTACCAGTAAACATATCGAAGTGTTAATAAAAGTTTTAAATTTCCTTAG